GCTGCCATGGCATTTGACCGCTATGTTGCAATATGCCACCCTTTGCATTACACAATTATCATGAGGAGAAATGTTTGCTGGATAATGGTGACTGGCTCATACATTTGTGGGACTGCAGTTGGGCTGGTCCACACCACTGTCACATTTCGCCTGCAATTTTGTGGTGTGATCATCAACCACTTCTTCTGTGAAATACAGCCACTGTTAGAACTAGTCTGTGGGGACACTTTCCTAAATGAAGTCCAAGTAATTGGAATTGCTCTGATGGCTATCATGCTACCGTTCGTGCTGATCATCCTATCTTACATGGGCATTATCTTTACCATCATGGGGATGCCAGTCTTGGAGAGGAGATATAAAGCCTTCTCCACATGCTCCTCACATTTAATAGTTGTTATTCTCTTCTATGGTACATCTAGTTCCATGTACTTAAAACCCAAATCCAGCTACTCTCCACCTCTGGACAAGCTTTTATCATTTTCCTATACTGTTGTAACGCCACTGTTAAATCCAATTATCTACAGCCTAAGAAACAAGGAAATGCAGGGAGCCCTAATAAAACTATGGAAGAAAAAGGTTTTGGTAAAAGTTTATAAGTGAATTGATGAATAGACAAAATAAATTATGTTGAAATGAATTTTAAAATGTCTCAAATTCCTTGTTAGATTTGGTGATTGTAAATCTTATGCAATATGCAGCATTAATATGCTTATTATGTATTTTATGATTATTGTTTTATGTTTGCATGCTATGATTCTTTATTTTGTTACTGTGTTGTAAACTGTCCTATGACATTTTGACAGAGTGTGGGAAATAAATCTATTTTCTTACAAGAAATGAATTCTTCTACCTCCAATTGCAGTGATGTGTGCTGGGTCCCACCCTCACCCCCTCCCCATTTTTTTATTCATCCCTTCTTTCTGCATATGTGTTTTTCTGCCATTCTACTGGAACAATGAAAGTGTGTTTGTGTGAGAAAGACTAGAGATACCACTATCTTCCCTATAATTATTGAAAATACAGTGCTTGAGTCTTTTCATTGTAAAAGCTCCAGAGAATTTAAGAACTAACTGGCAACACCAATAGGAAAACAAATTAAATCAATTGAAGAACCTTGCAAAACCTTGCATCAGTGGTGAGATCTACTATAAATGCTCTAAAGTTTATTGAAAACTGTATTGAGCAAGGATATAGCAGGTCTTTGTCACTATTGACATGAATAATATCTCAAAAGAGCCAGCATGAAATAAGGTTATCTATAACATTGCATCTTGTCCATATTCATTCTATGTCTTGTAAGCTACTGCAGTCGGTGAGAATGAATAAGGCTTGTGGGCTGCAATGACATAAGATGCTACTCGTGCTGCTGCTGTTGCTACAGCTCCTGCCCCAGGCCACCAATAATAATTTGAAGGAAAAATGCAAAGCAACAGCTCACAGATATGAAGACGATTTTTTAAAGCCAGGGGACCATGTTATTGGTGCAGTTTTGTCTCTGCGCATGGGTGTATATCCTGATGACTCCTTTAAGATGCTACCCAAGAGCTTCAGTAAACGTGTGTTCCAGTTAAGTGTGCATGTGTTTAAACAAATGACAGTATCTAGGTAGTTCCAGTTTTCCTTCTTATTGAACATTCCTCCTGATTTGTTTGCACAAAGCTTGCACTGAGATTAGATGGTGTCAACTCTTCATTAAGTATTTGTTCTCTTTTTATTTGGGGGAGGGGAGATGATATGATGTTTCAGCAAGCAATCCTTATCTCACCTTTGTCTTTATCTTACCTTTACCTTATCTCACACTTTCCATTACATTACTCCATCACCTTTCAAGCAATTGTTATACCACACTTTCCAGCTTCCTTTATCACAGAAACTCCAATTTTGGTGGGAAGTGGGCTTATTGTGCAGATGCACTAATTGTGCAACCCAAATTTGGTAGTTTGTGAATGAATCTCAACCCAAATTAGTGACTGTATAAAGGCAAACCCAGATTCGGAGCATTTAAGGCCAATTTATACAACCTTCAGAGCATGGGGGAGTGTAGGCAAATGAAGACCACTTCATCCACTGCCGAGCGAGAGATTGTTTTACCCAGCTCACAGTTTGACAACAGAACAATCATTCACCAGCCTGCATCTGAAAGCCTTGCAATAGCACATTGAATGCGTAGTGGGTTTTTGATTGAGAGAAGATTGATTTTGATTGTTTGGGGGAACACTGAAGCAATGAAAGAAACCCTTTGTAGTGGGTTAAATGCCCCATAAGCAAGTCCTAAGTGTAAGCACTTAGGCACATGTTTCTGTAGTAAAAGCTTGTGTAGATTGGGCTGTTGCTTGGGAATTTGTAGGCTGCGGCACCAATGGACAGAAAATAGCATGTAGTAAATATCCCCAAAATGTTTGGTGTAAAATAAATTTGTAATAGATATTGTAAGCTTGCACAAGAGATCCCAGGAATCACAGAATCATAGAACTGTAGAGTTGGAAGGGACCCAAAGGAACATCTAGTCCAAGTCCTGCCATGCAGGAACCACAGCTAAGACTCAGGCTTATTTGTGTCTATGCGGTAAATAACTTTGCCAGTGTGATGTAGTAGTTAGAGTGATGCACTAGGACTGGGAAGAAACCCACGATCAAAACTCCACTCAGCTATGAAGCTCGCTGGGTGACCTTGTGCCAATCAGTACCTCTCTCAGCCTAACCCAGGGTAATTTGGAACTTATAATATGCGGCGGAAAATCACTGATGTCACCAAGAGCTCCCTGGAGGGAAGGGAGGGAAGTGAATAAATAAACACGTATTAAAACCCCAAATTCTGCTGCTGAAATAATTCAGCACTCCTAATATGCTGGCTGAGGGGTGCTGGGCCATGGCACATGCCCAGCGAGGCCAGTAGGTCATGGCACCAGCCTTGAGCCCTGAATTGGAGGAGCTGGCAGAGTGTGGAGCTTTTATATCAACCACAGGGAGTTGACTCAGGCTCCCAACGTGGATTAATCCTAGAATCGTAAAGTTGGACGTGACCCAAATATCTATGTGTCTGTTCCCAAAGTGTATACCTTTCTTGTAATGAAGGTCAGTCTTAAATAATTTAATATGTGTTCACAAATTACACAAAATACAGGTTCACACACTCTCACTACGCATGTGTACACTTACCGATTTCTGTAGCTCAACTATGTACACAGATTGCAAAATGAATTCCAAATACAAAATGCAACTGTGTTTCAGGTCTGAAATGGCTGCTCTCTGTTATATTGCTGTCAGTGCTTTTCAATGGAGAAGACTATAGTTGTATGCATGTAAAATAACTACAGTGTTTAAGATCTGTTCAATGACCAATGCATGACCAGATTTCTGGATATCCACTCAAACCGTGCAGTTTTATAACCACGTAGCTGTGTGCGGGTATTTTGAAAAAGCATAAGAGAAAACCTTTGTCTTCTCTTTCTGAGCCATGGTGGTTATCAGCTGTGAAATACATTATCAATTGGGTCTCTTTGCAACCGGTGAGTAGGTGAGAGAAAGAAGTGCTGTGCAAATAAAAAATATATATTACTGTCTTTGTAGGTCGATGAAAAAGAATTATCAGCATGTCTTTGCCTTCAATTTTGCTATTGCTGAGGTCAACAAAGATTCAAACCTTCTACCCAATTCTACTCTGGGATTCCAGATCTATGATAATATGTTCCAAGCAAGATTAAACTATGATATCACACTGTCCTTGCTGTCAGCAAAGAAAAACAGCTTCCCTAATTCCATATGCAGAATGCAAAAGATGTTGGCAGTCATTGGAGCACTTGGCTCTGAAGCTTCTATGCAGATAGCCACTATCTTAAGCCTCTATCAGATTCCACAGGTAGGGTTGTGTGGAGAGGAAGTTTACAGATAACTGTGCAAGAGATGAAATTTCAATGTTTCTCATGTTTGACACGTTGAAATTTCTGATGTTTATGTACAAAAAAGCACCAGAGATATGGGATTATATAGATGAGTGATCAGAAATCTGATTTGTGCATCCTGCTGTGATTCCCCTTTTGAAAACTCATCTATTTGTATATGGATTTCTATGTTCTTTTGGCAGTCTGAGTTGCTTTCAGCCTAGGTTGAGACATGTATTTCCACCAGCAGAAATGTACTTCCTTTATTTGGTGCATGAGCAGCACACAGAAACTGCACCATATGAAGATCAAGTTGTATGTGCACTGCACTGTAGTGTATGCCCAACTATATCATATACTTCAAACTAGAATATGCTTTTTATATGACAAATGAGTTGTTGCCAGCCATCCTTGAGCAGTTTGTTTCTTTTTTTCTTTTTTGAAAAAGTAGTGAGTACCCACTCTTTTTGTTTCAACCTGCATTTTTTAAGAGGCATGATATTCTCATTTTTGTTTGTTTGTTTATGACACACTGCTGAAATAGCAATAGGCCCCATCTATATTGGCATTCCACTGACTTTTGAAGACATATCTTTTACACAGAAATTCTCTTGATTACCTGTCTGTTTTAGGTAATGTGTTGTTTTAATAAGGTTGTTTTACTGAATATTTAAGTTGTGAATATGTATATAAAATATATATGTTACATATCTGTCAGGGAACTGCCATCAGTGCCGGAGGGAGAGAGAGAGCTCCAGAGGGATCCCAGAGAGCGTCACGGGATTGGGAGAGGCAGCCCATCTTCTGGGGAAGGGACTCAGTTCAGCTCCAGTGGAGAAGGGGGGCAGATGGGGGAACCTGAGAGGGAGTCACATGACTCCTTGCCTGGGACCAGTAGGGGGAGGAAGGGTCCTCTGCTGCCTACGCCTTCCTTGCGCAGAAGGCTTCCGTGCAGGGAAAGTAGGAGGCGACTGGGCATGAAAGAACTTCTATGCTGGAAGAAGTTGAAGAAACGCCCACTGACGGATTCTGCCAGCGATTGAGACAGCCACGGGTGAGTGGCTGTCTGGACAGAAAAGGTTCACTTAGGCAACCCAGCCAGGTGTGGGCACCGGCTTACGCACGAGCAACCCCTTGAACCACTACAATATCAAACCCATCTTCTATTCACTTATGTCCAGTTTTTCATAGAACATCTGTAATATACTGCAGAACATTCATCATAGATACACCAGAAAAATTCTCAGTAAATGTTTTATGGGTTCAACTTTGTAAAACAACAACAACAACTTTCACAGCTTAAAATACTGCATTTCCCTCTCTTTTCAGCTCAGTTATGGCTCATTTCACCCAGGACTGAGCGATAAAACCTATTTCCCTTTTACCTACCAAATGGTCCCAAACGACAATACCCAGAATGAAGGTATAGTGCACTTGATAAAATATTTGGGATGGACATGGATTGGCCTTATTGTTTCAGATGATGACAGTGGTGAACGGTTTGTGCAAAGTATGAAATGTATGCTCAATGAGAATGGCATCTGTGTTGCCTTTGCAGAGAAGGCACCATTAGTCTTTCTCCAATCCTCTAGTGCATGGAATATATTTTCTAAGGGAAATATCCTGGCAACACTTCATAGGACCAAAGCCAATGTGATTGTTGCAGATGGAGACACTTACTCAATGCAAGGTTTACAGATGATGCTGTATACTGAGTATTACTTGGGAAGGAAACCCAAAGAGAAGGTTTGGATTACCACAGTCCAGTGTGATTTCACCTCAAGTGTTATTTGGAATAGCTGGAACCTGAAATACTTCCATGGCTCCTTGTTCATGACAATCCACAAAAACCATGTACCAGGATTTCAGAGTTTTCTCCAGATGTATGACCCTCACCAGCACCAAAATAGTTTATTTATGAAAATGTTTTGGGAAGCTGCATTTCAGTGCAGAACTCTAAATAAAAAGCACTGTACAGGCAAGGAAAAGTTAAATAGTCTTCCTGGGACTGTGCTTGAAATGAGCATGTCTGATCAGAGCTATAGTATCTACAATGCAGTCCATGCTTTGGCACATGCTTTACATGCTTTTCGTGCACAAGGGCAAAGAGTGAGGGGGAAACCTGCTGGATTGGATCATTGGGCACCGCTGCCATGGGAGGTAATATGAGATATTTAGTCTCAGTACTTTTGCAATGGGTGGACTAGTGTTACACATGTTGCTAGTGAAGGTCAGAAATACTGAATCTTTGATGGACTTCAAACACCTTCGCTGAAGTCATTTAGTAAATAAGTAACCTTGGTGAAGTTTCACAGATTTTCTGTGAAAGACTGCAAGTTCCCAAATGATGCTCAGTAGCTACTCTTAGAATGAGAGATGATATTTATAAATCCTGAGATTTGGTTTTCCCATCTAGCTCCAGGCATTTTTGAGAAAAATTCATTTCAACAACAGTGCTGGGGAGGAGGTATTCTTTAATGAAAACATGGAATTGTCTACTGGATCATATGATATTGTTAACTTGGTTACTTTTCCAAATAAATCTTTCATCCGAGTAAGAGTTGGAATGGTAGATTTCCAGTCTTCTAATGAAAAAATTACCATTAAGAAAGATGTCATTATATGGCCCAACATCTTCAACCAGGTGGGTAATTAAGATTTTAATAATTTGCCATTTTTCATAGTTTCCCAAAATCTGTGGGATTCAATCTAGAAAATGAAATGAATGAGTTCCATTGTTTCTCAAGACATGAGGGTTTGGGGGGGGGGTTGGGTTTGTTTTGTTTTGTTTTTTTAAATCCTCTCAATTTGCCATGAAAGAGCTTATTCCCTTACCTCTAATAACTAAAGGCTTTAGTGACGAAGAACTTGATTTTGGCACATACCAAATTGACCTATGTAGAAAAAATAAAGAAACCTAAACTGCCTCTGTTATTTGGATCAACTGAATCAACCTGATAACTTCACTTTAAAATGATACATAAATATCTCAATGGTGGACCAGTTAGATTACGCATAGTACTTTGACATTGCATGTGAGTGGGACAAGGTTTTCTGCCCAAGTTTTATACCTAGTTATTTTATTTTAAACACTGGAGTGTGATCACTTTGTCTTTGTCTTTTTAAAACAGAGGTTAAATATACAACTTCAGGCTAAAATACAGAGAAATGAATTTATAACCTGAAATTCACCGGACTGTATTTTCTTATTTTTATGGTTAGGCATTGCCTCCTTCTATGTGCACTGAAAGATGCCCCCCTGGATACTACAAAAAAGTTCGTGAGAGTGAACCATCTTGCTGCTATTATTGTTCTCAGTGCCCAGAGGGGACCATTTCACACCAGACAGGTAGGTAATTTCAGAGGCACTATCCAAACTATATATTTCAAATATTAATTGTTTTTAATAGACAGCCTATAATATATGCCTGGATTTTTCATTCAGATCAATTGGCTGCATTGGATAAGATAATGCATAATGTTATGTTGACAATGTGTGTGTGTGGTGGTGGGGTTAAAAAGTTAGCATTCCACCACACAAAACCAACCAGACATGAGCTGTATATTACTAGATGCTTAACCTTTACATGGTATTTTCAGATCAGTCAGAACACAATGATAAAATGTTTTTGGCCTAAGGCTGAAATAAATAGGCACATACAGCTAGGATGAAAAAAGGATCTATTTATTAAATGTTACATACAAATCCTACAGAAAAAACTATAGGGGAGGAAACTGGCTCAGACTAAGAAATCCTGTGGCTGTAAAGGTGACAAAACCATGCAAGCCTATCCACTGACCGCTTACCTGAGCCACACACTGAATGTGAGTAGAGGAAGTCTTATATCATCACCACCCTTCAAGCCTTACTACTGTCTGAATGAGGAAATTTAGCATCAACGACAGTCCCTATCCTGCTCCCAGGCTGTGCATCCTTCAGGTACAGCTTTGAGAGGGACCACCCATCCACAAGGTAGCCTAAGTGAAGGGGTGCCAACTTGAATAAAATATTGGGAGGGCAGGCAAGCCCTGCCCCACATAATCAATCATATGACACGGTGCACGCATACAATTTGAATGGTGATGCCCATCAACTTGCCCCACAAATATTTTATGGGGGAGAGGGCTGAAGCCCCCTTGGCCCCTAAGATTTTGCACCTATGTCTAAGTGTGTCACCAGCCTGCCCTATGAAGTTCCTTTTCCCACGTTTCTGCCAAAGTGACCAGATTCACCTATTTAAACACATGAAACTGAAATGCCAAATTAAATATCAGCCAATTGAACAATATCGTCAAATCAACCAATCAGCATGACTAGCCAAGTATTAAGGCAGCTCACCTAACAATCTCCTATTCCAATCCTACAGTATGGAAAAGGGGGGGGGGGGCTTTCTCACAAATCTAGACAAGCCAGCCAAAAATTCCTACTCAGCCCCAAAGTGACTACAGCAACCACAATGCAGAAAAGGGTGGGAGGGTGCCAAACAAGGAAAAGGAGGCTGGATGGGCTTAAATAATGCTCCTTTCAGTGTGTTGGTGTGCTGTACACACTATGTCTGTTTTCACATCAGCAAACCACATAACAGTGGGGGCTTCAGTGCCAGCTGCAAATTTTCCCCACTTCCCAAAACAATATCGGACATCAGAATAGGGATTATCTAGCTTTTGTAGATTATTGACTGATGTGCTGTGTTGCATGATGTAGGCTGCATGCTGAAAAGCTCTGCCATACAGGAAATTTATGTGTGTTTTTTACAGATGCATATCAGTGTGAAACATGCCAAGAAGCTGAACATCCAAACAAGAAACAAAACAGATGTATCCCTAAGGTTACAACTTTTCTCGCCTATGATGAACCTTTAGGGAAAGGGTTGGCTTCCACTGGACTTACTTTTGCTCTCCTCACAGTCCTGGTGCTTGCAACCTTCATTAAACACCAGAAGACACCAGTTGTCAAAGCCAACAACCGGAGCCTTACCTACCTTCTGCTAATCTCCCTTTTGCTTTGTTTCATTTGCTCCTTGCTGTTCATTGGACGACCCAGAATAACAACCTGCCTTTTCCGACAAGCTGCTTTTGGAAACATCTTTTCACTTGCACTTTCTTGTGTATTGGCCAAAACAACCACTGTGGTTGTAGCATTTATGGCCAGAAGTCCTGGAAGCAAGATGAGGAAATGGGTGGGCAAGAGACTATCCAACTACATTATCCTTTTTTGCTCTCTTATTCAAGTTGTCATCTGTGCCATCTGGCTATTCACATCTGCCCCTTTCCCAGATCTTGATATGGTCTCACAGTCTGGGCTGATTGTAGTGCAATGTAATGAAGGCTCAGATGCTATGTTTTACATGGTCCTGGGCTACATGGGCCTTCAGGCCAGTATCAGCTTCATAGTGGCCTTCCTAGCCAGAAAGCTGCCTGATAGTTTCAATGAAGCCAAGTTTATTACTTTTAGCATGCTGGTGTTTTGCAGTGTTTGGATATCCTTCATTCCAACCTATCTGAGCACCAAGGGGAAATACATGGTGGCTGTGGAGATCTTCTCTATTTTGGTGTCCAGTGCTGGGTTACTTGGTTGCATTTTTGCCCCCAAAATGTTTATTATCTTTCTAAGGCCAGAAGTAAACACAAAGAACAATTTCTTTAGAAAAAACAATTTCACAAAATAGCTTAGGGAAATCACACTATTCTATTGCTAGAAACTGACTGCATGAGAGGCACTGGTATAAACACAGGAATTTGTAGAGTCCTTCATGGGTGCCCCTCTGTATACAAGAGAAAAAACATTGCATTTAAAAAAATCAGTTCATGTGATAGCACTGAAATAATTAGAGAGATGCATAATGTATGTTACACTTGAAAATTTGTTGTATATGTGATCTTGGTTGGCACACGCCCAATATATTTTTTCTCTAGTGTGTTCACTAGGGAAAAGTGAGGAGGAATTAAAGAACCTCTTAATGAGGGTGAAAGAGGAGAGTGCAAAAGATGGTCTGAAGCTCAACATCAAAAAAACAAAGATCATGGCCACTGGTCCCATCACCTCCTGGCAAATAGAAGGGGAAGAAATGGAGGCAGTGAGAGATTTTAATTTCCTGGGCTCCATGATAACTGCAGTTGCTGACAGCAGTCACAAAATTAAAAGACGCCTGCTTCTTGAGAGAAAAGCAATGACAAACCTAGACAGCATCTTAAAAAGCAGAGACATCACCTTGCCGACAAAGGTCTGTATAGTTAAAGCTTGGTTTTCCCGGTAGTGATGTATGGAAGTGAGAGCTAGACCATAAAGACGGTTGATCGCTGAAGAATTGATGTTTTTGAATTCTGGTGCTGGAGGAAACTCTTGAGAGTCCCATGGTCTGCAAGAAGATCAAACCTATCCATTCTTAAGGAAATCAGCCCTGAGTGCTCACTGGAAGGACAGATCCTGAAGTTGAGGCTCCAATACTTTGGCCACCTCATGAGAAGACTCCCTGAAAAAGACCCTGATGTTTGGAAATATTGAGGGCACAAGGAGAAGGGAACAACAGAGGATGAGATGGTTGGACAGTGTTCTCGAAGCTACAAACATGAGTTTGACCAAACTGCGGGAGGCAGTGGAAGACAGAAGTGCCTGGCATACTCTGGTCCATGGGGTCATGACTAAACAACTAAACAACAACAGTGTGTTCACAATTATCACCCAAATTTACACCCTTACATAAAAAAAATTCATCCAGACTGGACTATGATAATTCCCACTGTGCATGCTGCCCTTTAAAAGTCCAGAAACTAAAATTGACTACAAAATTAGGCCAACTGAAAGGTGTTTAGGAGGGGTGGGGGTAGAAATCAGGACATATCACTTTTCTGTCATGTGCCAGGCAGGGTCATCACCTTAAGAATATTATTGCCTGTTTATCTGTTTGTTTTGTAACACAAAACCCCCCAATAAAAACTAATTTTTTAAAAAAGGATTACTGTTCTACAGAGGAAATATCTGGTATGTATTATTGCTGGTGGCCGACCTCAGAGGATATTGAGTGATGGCAACAATCATAGGACACATCTGCTTGTATCACAAGTCCAATCCAGGATGGAATATGTTGGACTAGGCAGTCCAATAGTTTGACTTAATATTAAACACCATAATGTAACTCCAGTCCCTAGAGAACACAATTTTGCCACAACAGTGTATGAATGGTGAATGGTGGACATTTCTAACCCCATATTGAACAGTTTCAGGCATAAGCATTAGAGTGTGCCCATATGCTCACATCTAGTTGGTTACATGTATTAATCTCTATGAATAAAAATGATGTACTCTTAATTGGATTGTGGGGTGTATAGAGTGTAGTTTAAAGAAGCGGTAGAAGAGGGTTCTGGGAAAGTTTGTAAGCATGACTTGAAGAAGAAAGTAGATATCTTTCATGAAACCCACATGTCTCAACTTTTGGTTGTCCTTAACCTGAAAGGCAACTGGGACCTTTAAGGAGTAGCATAAAGTCAAATTAACAAAAGGGAGTAGATGATTACGCAAAGTGCATGTGGGGAAAGTGGAATTAAATATCTTAAGTGAAGGAGAGCACACCACATCTCAAGGCAATATGTTCCCTAGTCAAACTGGGGACGTGCCTAAAATAGTTTCTACACTATTTTATTTCCCTTGAGCAGATTTCCCTTGTGTGTTTTTTTGTCCCACCTTCTCTTCTTTTATTTTTCTCTCCCAGATAAAAGTTGTATAGATAGACTCAGATACGAAAAATACACTAATATTAAGAATGTCTGCACATGTTTATTCCGTTCAGGCTTTAATAAATGGTGACACATCATACTATCCTAGAAAGGTAAAGTAAAGGTAAAGGGATCCCTTAGGTCCAGTCGCAGACCACTCTGGGGTTGCGGCGCTCATCTTGCTTTATTGGCCGAGGGAGCCGGCGTACAGCTTCTGGGTCATGTGGCCAACATGACTAAGCTGCTTCTGGCGAACCAGAGCAGCGCACGGAAATGCTGTTTACCTTCCTGCCAGAGCAGTACCTATTTATCTACTTGCACTTTGATGTGCTTTTGAACTGCTAGGTTGGCTGGAGCTGGGACAGAGCAACGGGAGCTCACCCTGTCGTGGGGATTCGAACCGCCAACCTTCTGATCAGCAAGCCCTAGGCTCTGTGGTTTAACCCACAGTGCCTCTGCACTTATTCAGAGGCTTCCTTCAGGTCCATAAAGGTGCATATCTTAATGCCTGAAACATGTGTAGGAATAAAAAAAAAACCCTTTATTAAAAAAGACATTCGGAAATTTGCTTGCTCACCAATAAGGATGGGAATATTAAATTAAGGCAAAGGTCATCTGATTCTGTGGACACTCATTGAGGCTAGGGCCACAGGGAGGCAAGGCAAGCTGCACCCGAGCCAGGCCTTTAGGGTAGCGGTGGCGCCTCCTTCTTCTTGTGGCTGGCATAGAACAATGCATGCTGTTAGAAACCCCCTGCGTGGGGGGGGGTGTCAGATTTCCTGAACAGTATGGGATAAAGGGTGGGGTGACTGACAGGAGAGGAGGAAATCGCTGCAGTTCAGAGGAGGCAGCATTAGTCTGTCCAAGCACTGATGCACTTTTGGCTCAGAGTTCAGCTACTTTTTTCCCTTTCCTTTTGTTTGTTTTGCACAATACACAAGGCAGGTCCAGCTATCTGAACGCAATGCATTCTGGAGAAATCATTCGTTTGGCAGGCTTTCCCATAATGATATGACAATTTCCATTATTTCGTATGGGAAAATTTAAAATGCATCATTTATCCAATCAGCAGTTTCTGTAGCGAGATTTGGGTACTAATTCATTGTGTTCTGATAAGCGAATTTTCACAAAAAGCATGTTCTGATAGCAGGACCTGAGTGGATAAACCAATATTTTGATTCTTAAGTCAGTTGCATGGCATGGGGTGTATTAGGTCTTACGCTCTTTCAGTATGTGAGGTTTCTGTCTTTTGGCTATGCCCGTCCATATCCATACATGACCTGTGTCCATCGCCATCACACATTTGGTGTCAGGGCCCTGCACATGTATACAAGTAGATGTGTGAGGCTCTTCTATGCAAATAGGAACACTGATTGGATAAGTTCCCCATTTCTTTGGAAGAGCAAAGTCCAGGTAGGCCATATTTACACCAGTGCCAAAAGTGTGTCTGACAAGGGTATGCCCAGCATAACTTCTGCACTGGATGTGACACAGCTAACTCTGCAATCCTTATTTCATGACAGGACCTCTGGATTGTTGCCTTCAGCATCATACAATTCTGTGTAGTGACTACAAAATTCGGTTCCTGGTTAATAACATTTTTCTGTCAGTAGGTGAAATCAGACAGGTCACACTTTCTCAACTGCCCTTTTGCAGAATGGCCATAATACCCCCTCCTTCATAGGGTTCTTATGTGGATCCCCCTTTATTGCCCACCCCCAAATATGAATACACTGTACCCTGCTGACTGAGAATATGACTTCATGCATCTGATGAAAACTTATGTCAAAATAAATTGACTTTGCTAGTAATGCAGTCAGGCAAATTCCTCTGAGTATGAAGAATCTTGTGAGGGAAAGTTATAACTGTTTTATAAATTGTGAGCTTTTTTAAAAGAAAGAAAGAAAAGAAAACAGTTCCTGTAATGTTTTTACTCCGGTATTTCCGTTTGTTTGTTTTTCAAATAATTATTTTTTTAAAAAAAAATCATGTGTGTTATCTTATTTTTATGATATTGTAAGCCACCTTGAATTGGTATTTTGACCAGACAAGTAGGATATCTTCTACTACAACATACTATAAACTAACGTTATTTTAAGGTAAAGCGTGTATGTTTGGGTTGCAGTTTAATTCTGCAGCTTTTGAAAGGTGCCTAGCTTCTCTGTAATTATCAGAAGTACTGTAATTCAGAGTGTGCTGAAGCCCCAAAGGATTTACAGATATAACTTTCAAAATTATTGACATTATGAATAAAATAAAGGGGGAAAGTCAAAGTTGCATGTCCTTACATAGCCTTTGAATGTGAGGTTATGTAATCTCAGATTAGATGCTCAGGCTAGAATAAGCGCATAGATACTGTTCAGTATAATTCCCACTGTCTCTTTTTACAATGATCCATAATGTTGTTCTTTATTCTGTTGCTTCTGATGCTGCCTCAAGCCATCAGCAAGAACACGAAGGGATGCCACAGAGGAGAAAGAGATAGTTCTCAGTTTGATTATTATAAGCCTGGTGACCATGTCATTGGTGGACTTTTATCATTGCATGCTCTTGTTAATATACATGAGAACTTCACAGTTATACCCATAAATTTCAAGAACAGGGTGTTTCAGTAAGTCTGTTATTTTATTTGAATGTAGGGCAAATTCCAAGTTTGATACCTTAATATCAGGGCTAAGTAACTTGGTGGTGAGAACAATTTATTAGCTCTACTCAGTACCATAGCAATAACTTTCATGGCAACTGTAGCATATGCCAGTGTGGAGTCATATGAAGTGAATGGTGCCTTATTAGACTACTTTACATGTTCACCAGAACTTCCAGAGGGGTATTCATTGCATCATCAAACACAGACTCCTATAGTATTTGAAAAACTGATACTTCCTTTGGCTAGGATAAATGCCTTTAGATGTATGTGGCATTATACTTAATTGGCAGGGGTGCATAGGCAAAGAGGAAGAAAATAAACAATGAGAATAAATGGCATTAAAATGAAATCCAGCTCCAAGACAGTGGTGAAGTTAGAATTAAGTGCAGGATACGACACCATACTGTATCAATATTGCCTAAATAACACATCTGTAAAGGATGTGGCCCCCGGAAGATGAAATTTCCTGAAAATCTGGAAATTGAATGAACATGGAAATCTCCTATAGTATAATATGTTAATTGGAAACCAAACGCCTTGTTAAGAAGGAGGTGTCAGCAACAAAGCCAGTTGCATGTGCAATTTGAAATAATGGTTCAGATTTACTTGTTGCAGTTCAACTTCTCCATTATTCTGTTCACAGTGCACTGTGTATGCAATGCATCTCTCTCTCTCTCTCTCTCTCTCTCTCTCTCTCTCTGTGTGTGTGTGTGTATTTCAAACATCATATTTAAACAGCAAAGCCATGTTTCTATGGATGCCCCTTAACCGAACAATTCTCTTTCTCTGGAAGTTATGTAAAGCCTTTAACTGGCCATTTCATGTATGTGTGACTACCAGGCAACATAAGAGAAAAATCTTTCTATTCTGGCTCCCCAGAAATCAGCCAATAGTGAGGTATTCTGATGAACTCTAAAATTTTATTTTTATGCTTTTGCTTTCTGTTTTCTTGTGGGTTTGAATCAGGTTTCCTATGAGAGTCTTGAGAATGCAAATGAAGCAGCTAAAAGATGTACCAAAAAAATCTAAGTCAATGACTCTCATTTTAGGCCGATGTTGAAGAACTTCCAGCATGCCTTCGCCATCAATTTTGCTGTCAATGAGATCAACAATAATCCGAAACTCTTGCCAAATATTACCATTGGGTTCCACATCTATGATAATTTCTTAGATGAAAAAATGAACTATGATATCATCCTCACCCGGCCATCATCTCGAAAAGAAAGATTTCCTAATTTCAGGTGTGGAAGGCAATATAAAATGTCAGCAGTTGTTGGTGGGCTATCCTCTGATGTTCGTATGCAGATAGCTGCTATTTTAGGCCTCTATAAGATGCCACAGGTAAGGATATGCAGAACCATGTTCTTCACCAATTCATTATGGAAGAAACAACCTCTTGTTGAATCTGTTGAGCATTTGATTGGAAGAGCCCACATCAGGGAGATAAGCACACTAAATGGTGTCTTCCAGATGAAGTACCTTTGCACACTTTTTCAGAGTCTTGCTGTTTTTAGGAC